CTCTCTCTTCCATTCTCTTCCTCATGGTGGCTGCAAGGATTTATGGAATGCCTACTCTGGACTGTTCTTTAAAACTCTAATACAATTCTTCTTGAATTTTAAAAAACAAAAGAAAAGAAATGGCTGCTTCCTAAAGAGCAAATTACATCATTGTATCAGTAGAACTGAATATAGAATTGAGAAAGAAACACACACAGGCACACACACACACACACACACACACACACACACACACGACAAACATGCAAGGACAATACAAGGGATAAAAGTATTCTGTAAAAAATCAATATTCAAAAGAAAAGCAGCAAATGGACCCATACCTATACCTTACAAATTGTAGAGTATTAATTCAAATATATTAGAGACATAGATGAGAAATGTAAAATTATAGAATTAATTTAAAATATAATAGGAGAAAATCTACATTATATTGTATATGAACACTAATTTTATAAAACACTAAAGGTATAATACATAAAAATAGGTGGCAATCTGAATATTATCATTTATACTATAGAGATGGTAATGAAAATAAGTAATAAATTAAACCTAATATACTTATAAAGACATACCTATAAAGAACTGTTACCTAACACATGTGTAAATATAACTACACACACAAAGAATGTACAAAATTGAACATATGAAAATGAGCATTATTAAAAATGGCACAAACACTTGAACAGATAACTCATCAAAGAAGATAAACATATGGGATATAATATATGTAAATATATTTTACCTCATATGTCATTAGGGAAATGCAAATTAAACAACAACAAAACACTCACCTCTTAAGGCAGCCCAAGATCAGAGCTCAGCAATACCAAATGTTGGCAAGACCGTGAAGCAGTAGGAACACTCCCATTCCACATTGATGGGGATGGAAAGAGTGCAGCCATGATGGCAGCCAGCTCGAGGTTTCGTAGAGAACTACGTATACATGAGTATAGCATGGGATCTCCCAGGTGACCCAGGGTCAGGTCTTACTGTTCTAATAATGCACTTGTCCCTTGTCTCTGTGCCTTAAGCTTAGACCTTGTTCCTGTCCCCCTCTGCCCCACATTGCTACCTTGATAAGATGCCTCTCCTTTTATTTTCTTCCGTATTTTTAGGAAACACACTTACTATCATTTTATTACTTAGATCAGTAAGACACATGTTAGAAATTACGTGAAGAGAAAATGTGAATCTACATAGTATATACTGAAGGATATAGTTTTCTTTCTGTTTTGAAAACTTGAAGAATTATTTAAATACTGCAAACTCACCTTTTTATTTAAATTTCAAAGTTTTTTTTTCCATTTTAAATACCAGCCAAAGTTCCCCCTCCCTCCTCTCCTCCAAATCATCCCCCACCCTCCCCCAACCTCACCCCATGTCCACTCTTCAGAGAGGTTAAGGCCTCCCATGGATAGTCAACAAAGTCTGGCATGTTAAGTTGAGGCAGGATCAAGCTCCTCCCTCCCCCACCCCACATCAAGGCTGAGCAAAATATCCCTCCATAGGGAATGAGCTCCAAAAAACCGGTTCATGCACTAAATAAATCCTATTTCCACTGCCAGTGGTCCAACGAACTGCCCAAGCCACGCAACTATCACCCACATTCAGAGGGCCTAGTTCAGTTCCATGCACTTTCCCCACCTGGCAGTCCAGAGTCCGTGAGCTCCAACTAGTTCAGGTCAGCTGTCTTGGTGGATTTCCCCATCATAATCCTGACTACCTTGCTCATGTAATCCTTCCTGTCTCTCTTCCACTGGACTCCAGGATCTCATTGTAAGTACACTACTTAGTAAGCTTTAATAATGTACAAGGTTATGGAGGTAACAGGAGAATCGTGACAGGAAATTGCCACTACCTTCAAATCCCATCATTACAGTTAGCCCCTCTTTAGAATCCCGTGTAAATTAACAATGAAAATATTTTTTCCTTTTGTATCTGACTCCACTCACTTATTAAAATGTTTTGAAGACTTATTGAAGGTGAGGCTGGTGTGCACTGATCCATCATTTTATTATATCAGTGTTCACATTGAAAGCAAGTGCTAGTACTTCCTTACTGTCATGGTATATTGAGTTTTGAGTTCTTATTCTAGAAGTGCGTGTGAAATTATCATTTTTCTTAAAGAATGCATAATGTACAGTGCCATGATACAATTACTGGGACCCATGTAATACAACATCTGAGAAACTGGTATTTCAAAACATGAATGTTTCCTGAAGAATTAGCAAGTTCAGTGTGATTCTTCTATAGAGGTATCATATATTTAGTTTTCAGTTGCATGCAAGGTTTATTCGTTTATATTTTAGTTACTTTGCCTTCTAAATATGTTTATAATTTATACTTTAATGGTTTTTTAAACAGCATATAACTTGACATATTGACGCAAAGAGCATCCAAAGCAAGAGTTGCCTTGCCCCCACCTGCTGGGTTTAAACAGTACTTTTCACACAATAGTATCCATATGCAATCCATATTTTATCCAAGGTCATAGAAGATGGAACCTTTATAATTTTTTGTGGATATGAATAAAGAAGTGCAGAGTTGTTGAACTGTGCTTTGAAAACATGCTGTTAATCGTTTATTATAAACGTGATACCCATTTGCATGCGCTGGTAGTGATTCGCTGCTCATAGTGATCTGTGCATCGAGGAGAAAGGGAAGCTGAAACAGCTAGTTTATCTGGTTCTGTGGGAGCACTAAGGGTAGTAACCAGAGATTTCCTTAACTGAAAACCTATCCTGGCTTATGTTACCAGATGTTCTTGGATAGCATAAGTATTTTTATTTGAAAGTTGCGTTAAAATACTTTCTGATGAATTTCAATGAAAAACAAACATATTTACTGTATCACCTCATCATGCTACCTACTGGCTCCTCTTCCCAAATCCTATTTTAAAAGACAGGATAAATTAAAATATTAGAGGAATATATATATATATATATATATATATATATATATATATATATATATATATA